GGCAGGGCGGCTCGCTGACATGGCACGGTCCAGGCTTGCTGGCGTCGGTGCTCCAGCACAGAGAAGGGTTTTGGGGTGACTCCCAGCACCCCGTGGCACCCGCAGGGCAGAGCCCTCCCTGCCGGGCTGCCCGTAGCTCTGGGCAAGAAGCCTTGCCTGAGGTTGGGGCATGGCGGAGAGAAGGCTGGAGGTTACCCAGACCACATCCAGCACCCCAAAAATCATCCACACCACGGGCGAAAAGACTCGTGTCTTGTCTAATGCTGGGGCAATTTAAGGCTTTTTTTATGCAGCACACCAGGCCCATCCTGCTCTGCACAAAGCCCCCGCGCCTCGCTCTCCCCATCTCCCCCACCATGTCATCTTTTGTAATTCAGTAACGTTATCCCTCCGTTTTCCCCCTTCCCCTGCATTTTTTTTCCGTTTAGCGGAAATTGTAATCCGTGGAATATAAATACACCGAAGGCGAAGGTGGCTGGGGGGATGGCTCAGGAGTCCCCCTGACCTCGGGGTTGGGCATTCAAGCTGATGCCACCAGCCACACCCCAAATGAACCCCCAGATTATAAATGACAAAGGCAAGGGTTCAGCTCTCTCCGTAAGCTCCTCGAGCACTGTGCTGGGGCAAAAGAGAGACGGCGGTGAGCTGGTTTTTAACTTTGTGCAAATTACAAACTCTTATTCCTGGCAGCCCGTCGGGGCGGGGAACCGGTTTCCGATTCCTCTGTCAAGGTGTCAGCCAATCTGGTTCAATCCAATTCCCGTGGATGGGTGGCAGTGACATGGCAGGGGGTCTTCAGGGGACCCAGCCCATTCCCTTCCCTGTTCCTCCTCCCATGCCACAGAGCTCTTGGCGATGCTCATTTCTGGAGAGCCGATTTGGGGTTGTTCAAGCATCTTTGATAGAAGCGATCCGGCCCGACCTTGCACGCTGTAAACCTGTCAGGCGCACGCTGCCAGCAATTAGGGTGGCATTTATCTGGTCCCACAAGCTTGCGATGCCTGAGCTAATGGGGAAAAGATGTAGATCCTTTACCAAGGCTCATCCTTGAGCAGAGCAGAGGACCCCGGCAGGCGCCCCGGGCGAGGAGCTGACTCCCTGCGGGATGGAGATGGGGCAGAAAACAGGGGGGGAAATGAACATAGCGGAGAATTGAGCTGGAAAGCAAAGGTTTCTGTGGGGGATTGGGGAGCTCTGAGCTACACCGAGGTGCAGCGTGTTTTAGGGGAGGTGTGAGTAGATGGGGAAGGGGTTTTGGCTTCCAGGATCCTGCAAGAAGCTCCCTGGAGCATCCCACAGGGTTTCGTGGTGCAGGAGAAGGCCCTGCCACTAAAACCAGCAAAAGGGGCTGAACAAAATGCCCCAACCCAAGCACTGCCCAGGGCTCGCAGCTCTCCAGCCACCCGGGAACTGCTGGCACCCGGATGCATCCTGACCCAGCTCTAGTCCTGAATCTCCATCCCAGCACGCCTACCAGCCCCGTACAGGAATCGCTTGGCACCGCCTGGCTCCCACAGCCCTTCAGCTCTTGCCTCCATGGGCTGGGGGAGGCAGAAACTAGCCAGACACGGGGCCAGATCCTACCGAGTGGGTTTGAGAGTTAATTTAAGAAACCTTTTCTCCTTCTCCTTGCTCTCAGCCAAGTTAGAGTGGGTGAGAGAAGTCATCACTTACAGAAAAGTCTTAGAGCCAGATTTTAAATCGAGGACAAAACCAAAGGGGGCTTATAAATTTTATTTATACATTTATTAGGGTTCTGTTGAAACTGCCAGTTCGGTGGGGGGCAGCGGGTGCCCTTGGTGACGGCACATTTTGTACAAAGCCCCGGTCTATAATTTCCCCAGAAGCCCTATGGTGTGGCCATAAACCCGTAAGGAAACATCTCTCACCCTCTTAGATCCTGTAGCTCCTTCCCAGCCTGATGGTTCCCATTTTGGCCCCAGGCTCCCGGAAAACTCGGGGACAACCATGGCTGGACTTCATGTATTTTAATCCAGCGGCTCGTTAGCTCGCTGAAGGAAAACAGGACCAAAAAAGGAGTTTAACTAAAAGGGGCAACTGGAAAGCACAGACTGGCAGAATATTTGAAGCTGCAGGAACAAGGGCTGGAGGGAATCTGGAGAATTTTATTTGTGAGCCTTTAAATACGAACGGCGAAGTGCAGCAACACAATAAAAGACCTAGAGAAATACTGGTGGCTGCAGCAAGGCCCTGGGAGGTGGATGGAGCTCCTTTTCCTCCCCATCCAGGGATGCTATCCTCTCCCTCTGATCCCAACAGTTTGGCCCCATCATGGTCAAAACGATGCAGCACCCCTGCACATGTCTGGGAGATGGGGAATGGGGCTGGTGGTGGTGCCCAGGTCCCACCTCCACATCCCTGCATCTCCTCCCAGCCCAACAGGGTGTTGGAGGCACGCAGCGCTCCCAGGCCCTGGCACTGGTCCTTACTGTAGCAAAGCACCAGAGAAGCCATCTGCTTGTTCCAGGAGGCCACTGCCAGCAGCGGAAATAAATTTAACCATTCCTCCTCTGCCACATCCCCTGGTGTGGCTTGCATTTGGTATTGGGATGCTGTTGGTGGCATTAGCCAGAAGCATGATTTTCAGAGAAGGGTGCAAGAAAACTCTGCAGTGGCTCTAAGTTTGGACCCTGCTTTGGGCAGAAGGTGGTTAGTCCAAGGGACAACCTGCCGGCAGATACTGGAGTTCCTCTGATCCTCATGGCTCCTCTCAGGATGGGACAGCCCTTGAGAGTGATACACTTGGGCACAAAGGGGCCTTAGAGACTTGATGGAGAACTTGGTGGCAGATTCATGGCTTAAATTATTCAGAATTAAGGTCCAAGAAGGTTTTTCTGGCCTTAAAGATCTTGGAACCCATAGCTTCCTCCTGCTCAACAGCTTTGTGGTGTCTTGAAGCAGGAGAATAAATATCCCTTCCAATAGATTTTGTTACTTTCTCAAGTATCATCTGAAACCACTGCACATCTATTTAATAAGTACCAAGATAGCTTATTAGCAAGTATTTATTTCTTGAGCATATTCAGGAGTGGTAATTCCTGCCATCATGGCCTCTGCAATGATATAGAGCAGAAAACCCCAACATAACCCTGCTATGAATCAGAATGTCGTAAAACTATTAACATTTCAAATAATTCCAAAATACTTTCCCACCAGTAGGTACAGATTGGATCCAGATGCTTTATTAGCAGAAAGAATAATTAACCAGTACCTCTATAAGGAGAACGCCAGCGAGACGCGTTCCCCACGAAGCCTTTGCAGGCAGCTGACTGGGTACCTCAGAAAAAGACTTCATAAACTCACCTAAACCCGATGATATTAGTGACAAAGAGGAGATTAATCTCAGCCTGGCTGAAAGCCCAAGATCAATACTGAGAAACCAAACTACACCCTCAGCTTCATGTTTCCATGAGCCAGCAAAGCCATAAATAAACACTGCGGAAGCCGAGCTCTGCGAGACGCAGTGGCGTTCGTTCCTAGCTCTGAAGACCAGGGTTGGATGAGCAGATGCTTGGCTGCAGTCCTGTGTCACCCTGGGGACATGCCACAGCTGGGGCTTCAGGGGATGCTGGAGGTGGGAGCTGAGACCCGCATCTCAGAAATTATTTGGTGCCGAATTTCCATCGCTGTCCATGAAAGCTTGACCCAAACCCTTAGCAAGAGCCAAGCCCAAGACACCCTGCGGACATGTCCCTGTTGGGGGTGGCTGTGAGATGCAGTCCCAGCAGTCTGGGTCAAGTGCTGCCCCAGAGTCCGCTGAGGCTGGTGTTCAAAATCAGGTCCAGGTGGTTTTAGCCAGATGTGAAACCACCACAGGTCTTTGCAAACATTTGGTTTAACCCTGAGCCCCAGCAGGTCCTGAAACAGGTTTTGATTCTCATGGAGACCACAGGGTTGCACCTATGCTGCTCCCCGCAGAGTGCCAGGTGCCTGCAGGGAGCAGGGCTGGCACAGAGCAGGGCAGTATGAACCCCTGGGAGGGCTCAAGCACAGCTGGGTGCCTGTGTGGGGTCTGTGGGGTGTCACACGTGGGGTTCTCATGTGGCCTCTTCTGCGCTTTCCCCACAGGCGAGAGCCTGAGCCCGAGCCGCGGGGCAGCCAAGAGGAAGAAGAAGCAGAGGAGGAACCGCACCACCTTCAACAGCAGCCAGCTGCAGGCTCTGGAGAGGGTCTTCGAGAGGACGCACTACCCTGACGCCTTCGTGCGGGAGGAGCTTGCCAGAAGGGTCAACCTCAGCGAGGCGAGAGTCCAGGTGAGCAAAGGTTTGTGTGGGAGAAAACAACACCCTCTGCCTTGTCCCCAGGCAGGAGCAGGGACTGTCCCCTCTCTTGTTTCATCCTGCATGTGACCATGATCGGTAGGACGGATACTTGGGACATCCCTGCTCATGCCGGGCCCCTGCTGACCACCTTCCCTCCCCGCACAGGTCTGGTTTCAGAACCGGAGAGCCAAGTTTCGCCGTAACGAGAGGGCAATGCTGGCCAACAGATCGGCATCACTCCTCAAATCCTATAGCCAAGAAGCAGCCATTGAGCAGCCCATGGCACCACGGCCCACCGCACTGACCCCGGAGTATCTCTCCTGGACCAGCACCTCCCCGTACAGGTAGGTGCAGGCGCTGGAGGAGCTGGGGAGGAGGTGGCCATGTGGCATGCTGCCTAGGGACCGTCGCACCACCGCGGGAGTGCAGCCCCGTGCCACTGCTGAGGACGCAGGGAGTTTTATGAGGCCAAAAGGAGCTCATCAGGCTTTGCTTTGGGAAACCATTTCAGCCCCGTCTGAGCATCCCCTGCCCACCGCGGATCAGGCTTCCCTGCCTCCATGCGTTTTGGGGCTGGAGCAGGGGCGCTGGTCCTCGCAAGGGATTCGCTTGGCCCCGTGCTGACCCTTCCCACATCTCGGCACGGGAGGTGGCATGGGTCCCTTCTGGTTCCCAGCTCTCCGCATCCAGCCATCTCATCCAAAAGCTCAAGGCAAGACCTCCTGGTGCATAGTTTGAGGGGTTCCCACACACATCCAGCCACATAAAAATGCTGAAGCCTTGACTGCTCTTGTGGGAGATGTCAAAGAGGGAACGGCCAGTCTGGCCTGGGAGCCAGCAGGACCACGTGGGGCACGGGGACTCCTGCGTGGGCCATGCCTCATTCCCCCCCTGCTCCCTCCCTGCAGCACTGTGCCCTCCTACAGCTCCAGCGGGACCGCGACGCCCACCCAAGGAGTGAACATGGCCAACAGCATCGCCAGCCTGCGCCTCAAAGCCAAAGAGTTCAGCCTCCATCAGAACCAGGTGCCAACCGTGAACTGACCAGGGCAAAGCCCGCCCCGTGGCCTCATCCAGGATACAGCGTGGAGCTCTTGTGCCAGTCCAGGACAAATCTGCTGCCCACCCAACCCACATGCCACTCATCCAACATCTCAGCACCTCTCCTCTCCTCTTCCCTTTTGAAGGTAGAGTCAGTCCCAGGCCAAAGTGGCACATAATCATAGCCACATATGGAGCAAACTTGGTTAGAAACTTGCTTTTCCGCACACCCTTATAATAAAGGCTATATATACACACACATACCCCCCACGCGCTCTTCGAGGACAAACAGACTTGCCAAGGGAACAAGAATTTGCTTCCAAACATGGAAGGATCTTGGACTATTGGATTTGACCAATTTGGGTATCTCACCCAGAGAGCCAAAGAGTCATTGGGTCTTCTCCTCCCACAGGGACAGCATGCGGCGGTGGGAGGATCATGAGCCCCCCTTTTTGCCGGGCTGTGACACGTGGTGCTCAACCGCGCATGCCGACGCCGACCCGTGTGTTCGCCGCTTTGTGCGTCCCCAGCCACGGTGCTTGGGAAAGACTTTGGGAAGCCGACGGCTCAGCCCTGCCCCGG